CATCTACACGGACGCTAGTGGCGAAGGAGTAGGAGCAATCTTGAAACAACCACAGGAAAATAATGTCCTACATCCAGTCGCTTACTTCTCGAAGCGTCTCAGCCCAGCCGAGCGAAGAAAAAAGCGATTCATCTAGAGTGTTTGGCAATCAAACAAGCGATTATCTTCTGGCAATATTGGTTGATCGGCAGAAACTTCACAATAATAACGGACCACAAACCGCTGGAGACTCTGAGAGTTAGAGCGCGAACCGACGAATTCCTGGGTGATCTCGTATACTATCTCTCTCAGTATAATTTCACGATCAAATACGCAAGCGGCAAAGACAATGTGGAAGCGGACTCACTCTCCAGGAATCCGGTCCTGGAAAGTTTCGAGAACGAAGACGATGTTCTTAAGGTCGTCAATTTGATAAACTTGGAAGAAATCATTCACGATCAGAAAGCAAACTATCCAAATATCGAAAGAATGAAAAACGTCATATGGAGGGATGGTTTGAGTTTCAAGAAAATTCGGGAGAGGCAGCGATTGATCGTTTCTCAAAAATTCGGACTCTGGTTGATCCAAAAAGTTCATGACTTCTACGGTCACATCGGAAAACATCACCTAGCGGCCAGGATACGACCATTCTATTATTTCAAGTACATGGATTCTCTCTTAGAACGCTTTTGTAGAAATTGTGATGTGTGCATCAAGAACAAGACTCGGAACAGTAGACCTATGGGGAAACTATACCAGTTAGGCCCAGCATCGAGACCCTTCCAAATAATGTCCATCGATACGGTCGGTGGATTCGCCGGAAACAGATCCCCGAAAAAGTACATGCACATACTAGTGGATCATTTCTCTCGTAAAGCCTTCGTCGCCACGACAAGTAATCAGACGACCAAACAATTCATCGATCTCATCGACAAAACTACACGCGATAAGAAAGTTTGCACAATTTTGATGGACCAGTACTCAGCCCTGAACTCTAAGGACCTAAAACAATATCTGAAGAAGCGAAATATTCAGCTCGTTTTCACCTCAGTGAATAATCCATCATCGAACGGTTTAAACGAAAGGTTGAATCAAACCTTGGTCAATAGAATAAGATGTAAAATCAACGAAAGTACGAATAGGCCTTGGTCACGAATAGCTGAAGAATGTGTTAAGGAATATAACTCGACCATTCATAGTGTCACGAGATTCGAACCAAATTATCTAATAGACGGGACAAGATCTAGCATCGTTCCAACAAATCTAGTGGAGGAAAGCAACTTAGAGAAGGATCGAGCAGAAGCTCTCCTCAACACTATGAGAAATTTCGAGAGAAACAAAGCCTATTTCGATAGAAACCGAGTGAATTGCCGCATAAAAGTTGGAGATTTCGTCTTCGTTGAGAATGGTAACAAACTCAATCGAAACAAACTAGATAATGTGAGAATAGGACCGTTCCGTGTGCTGAAACAAGTCTCCAACTCCATGTTTGAGATCGATTGTGGGAAGCGAAAAAAAGAAGCCAACATTTTCCACGCAAGCAAACTCATCCTGAAGGAGAACAAATGTGGATGATCCTATTCACTTCCTGGTTTAGATATCTCAGGAAGACGAGGGGGGGGGGAGGATGTAATATCGTCCCTGCTCCCTGCCGATATTGAGAGAGGGCGCCTTTCGAAAACTGCCGCCACGTTTCTCTCCAGAGATAGGAGAATCTGGCTCTAGCCATTCTGCGTTCTCCAAGAGCGGGATTCACCACGTGAAAATCGATTCTCTGATTTAAGGTAAATGCTCTCATGCTTACGTATCATACCACCGATACTATCGTTGTTAAATCGTTTCAATCGACCCATTAAAATAAATCTCTGATTTAAGTGAGAATCGATCGTGTGATCCTTGAAAGAAGAAAAATATATCAGCAAATCGGTCGTTATCCCTGTCTAGTTAGCTTGACAGCTACAGTGGTGACCCAGACGTGATATTTCGACACTTCAGAATGACAGGAGACGATCACAAGGAAACCCCTTCCAACACCGGCGACATGCCGTTTGGAGTTGTGGATCCTTCGACAGCAACGTTGGTATCGCTTGGCCTGAGCGTGGTTTCGCTAAGCCCACCCACATACTGGCCCCAGAACCGACGCGTGGTTCACGAAGATTGAGGCTCAGTTCCGATCAAGCAGAATCACCGTCGAGGAATCGAGCTACAATAAAGTTCTCGCCGCTCTTCCTGAGAGTGCTGCGATTCAGGTTCGTGAGATCTCCCAGAAGAGTATCTTCTCCCGACGATGAGTCGTCAGCGTTGGGAAATCACCTCTGTTTCTGTGAACGGGGCCATTTGTACTACTGTCTCAGAAGTTTTCCAGAAGTCAGTGTTTTTGAGTTAATTACACTTGTTTACATGATAATTGTACTTAAATATGTAAGCCAGGAGGCCCCGATCTGATTGATACAGAAAAATACTGAATAGTCTTTTTGTGGAGAACTCGTTCCGTTTTTTCCACTGTAAGGGTCTATGAAACCCGAACGGTATGTAAGACACATTGAAATAAACATCAGATACAGATTCTTCTGTCAAACGCAATCCTTGCGTCCTCAGTCTTGAGAAGCACCTTCCCTACCAGCCCTCGACCCTCGGAGATCATCTGAACATTGTGCCGAAAACACTCTGAACTTCGGACAGCGGACTCCTGCCGTCTGAGCGCCTGCTCTGTGAGCTGACGCCTACTGGGATCCTCACGGATTCCCAACAGTCGTTATCAGCACGAGTGAACTCTGCAGGAGAACTCCAACCTCCGAGTTTGTCATCACCGAGGTGAGTCGAGAGGGCTCTAATACTCTTGAATGATGCAGCGCGACACCGCGATCACGCCGAACGTCGATGGAAGCGATACTCCGAAGATCCGCTTCAACCCTGCCACGGTCCTCCGGGAGGATGGCAAAAACTTCCTCACCTGGGAAACAATCGCCCCCGGACTCCTCCAAGCGGAGAACTTCGCGTGGCAGGTGGTGAACGAAGAAATCGTACCGGACAAGGATCCAGCAATACTTGCAAAGTATGAAACCGGAAATCGAATGCTAGCACCGTTTTCTTCAACATCGTACATCCGAACATCATCCTCGAAGTGCTCTACGGAGAATCCGCAACCGTGAGTGCCGTTGTCATGTGGAAAGATATCAAGAACCATTTCAACCGCAACGATGGAATCTTCTGTGAGAAACTCTGATAGCAGTCGTATGGCGTATCTGGGCTACAGAGTACTGAGAACGTTTGATTTCACTCGGTAATGCACTTCACTTTATTCTTGGAAACCGTCGTCCCTCGAGAGCGTTTCGCTTATCTTATCGACCTCTGAGATCACCCCTGTCTGCTCTCCCTCTCATGTTTTTCTTTGCTACGTGCTTACACGCCTGTATATATGTGGAGACATCGTCTGCTAGCTCTTTATCGCTATCGCTAGATGTTGCTATCATCGTACTCCGACATTGGCCTCTGACACTTCAAAGAACAGGCTCTTGGTGTATGGCTCAACTACGCGTACAATGAGGCTCAAAGTGTCACCGAGAACATGATGAGGTACCAGAGGCCAACCTACGGACTCGTTGAGGTCGGCTTGGTATTGGACCCACAAATTCAAATCTCCAAGATGGCGAGTGCCCTGCCAAGCTCCTGGTCCTCCTTCAAGCAAGCGTGGACCACAAGAAACTCTGAGAGAGAAGGAGCACCAGAAGAAGACGTCGACCTATGAGTAGGGATGTGATTTTTTCGCGGCGGCCGCGAAACCGCGATTCCGAGCATCTTGCGCGATATTCGTCGACCTCCCGCGATTTCCGCGATTTTCCGATTTCTCCGGGGTTCTAATTAATTTCCCGTACTGAGGGCAAGGAAACCCCCCAACGAGTGAGGGATTGAGTGACGCCGATGCGAATGCTCGTAGAAAAAAACAAACGTGTGAGGTCTTTGTTCTCTGTGTCGAGAAGTTCTCGGAGAGGTACGCATTCAGCTGATTTCCTTGTGAGCGATCGGAAGGCGTGGTCAAATGAATAAGTGCAAAAAGCTAGCGAAGAACGTGACTCCCTCATCCAGAGCAAAACAATTCGAACGGGAAATGTTTCACGTTGTTGGCGAGCTGATGTTCTGCAGTGCCTGCAATGTTCCGGTTGACCATCTACGGATGAACTCATGTGAAAAACACCAAACCACGTCGCTCCACCAGCAGAAAAAGGAGAGTAGGCAGTCTCCAGGTGATAAAAGGAAGAAACTTCAAGCAGCAGTCGTTGACCTCTTAGGGAATCAGACCAAAGAAAAATTGCAACGCAAGATCGAGATGATCGATCTAGTCAGCGTGCTATGCAGCTCGAACATTCCTCTCCACGTCCTCGATCGGGCACCCCTGAGAACTTATCTCGAAGCGAATCTGAGCGGAATGGGGGCAATACCCTCTTCGAGAAACTTGCGACGGAATTATCTCCCGAAATTGTTCGAGTTGCATGTGAAGGACCTCAAAGAGCTGTTGGAACAATCAGAATCTGTTGCTTTGGTATGCGACGAGACGACGGACGTTGAGGATAGGTACGTCATCAATCTCCTTGTTGTACCTTGTGTAGTCTCCCCTAAGCCTTAAAGGAACGCGTCGGAGTACCTTGGGATGACAAACACGAATGGTTTCGGTTTATTGGGGAGCGGTTGCGTAAATGATCTGTAGAGGGGCGAATGCACATCCGCGCGTAAGTGAACCGACTCGAGCGACTATTGGTCGAGTTCATCACCGGCTGTACCAGCTGATGCTACATCCTCCCCCCAAGCACTATTATCACAATTTATATCTCGATGATTAAATTATTTCTCAATTGTTCCTATCTTTCGTTTCCCGGCAATTCTAGCTGATCTTCGTAGCTCAGGCGCTTGTTCCGTTTCCTCCATCGGGTCCTGGGACTTTTCATCGGCTTCACCCTGAGGCGCTGTTGGTGGAGGTTCCTCCCTGAGCATTTTTCGGTTCCGGCGTGCGAGAGTCCCGGACTCCGCGTCTTCCACCGGATAGGATCGGGGCTGAGGTAGGACCTGGATTACCGTGCCACGTTTCCAAACATTTTCTTGAGGATGGAGAATGCGTACGGTTTGTCCCTGATTGAGCGGGCGCAGTTTTTCCGTCCCACGATCATAGGAGATCTTGTTTCGCTGTTTCTTTAAATCTACCTCCCGGGTCACTATCTCCGGCGGAATCGTGTGCGGTCGAAGTTTGACTGGGGCAATGGGCGGGAGAGAACGAGCTCGCCTCCCCTTCAGCCGTTGCATGGCGAGCCAAGAGCCATGTTCCGGGCGCGTTTCTCTTGTCAAGTAGTCTGCTGTTCCGTAGCTGTGTTTCGCTAAGAGTTTCTTCGCTTACTGTACGGCCCGCTCGGCGAGCGAGTTTCCTCTGGGATGGTATGGGGAGCTGAAGACCTGTTGGATTCCGTGCTGTTCCATGAGTTCTCGAAGCCAGGCGCCGGCGAATTGTGGGCCGTTGTCGGACCGTAGTTCAACCGGGAATCCGAAATGTGAGAAGGCGGCGAACATAGCACGAGCCATTTCCTTCATGTTGAGGGAGCGGACCTGGATGATCTCCCAGAAGAAGCTATATGCGTCGACCATGATGAGGATGAGGAAGTGGTGGGCGGTATGCTCGAAGAGGTCCACGTACGCGGTGTGCCGTGGTCGTGGTCGGGTCGTGGTGGCATGCATCGTTGGTTATCTATCGCGCTTCTCAGAGCATCCAACAAAGAAATAGAAGGTCGGGAGTCCTTCGATATCTACGAGGAACAACAAACTATGGAATAGTTTACAAGAGTTCCGATTTCAAGGCATACCGCTAATATAGCGATGCAGATTATGCTAGTTGTCCAATCACCAGAAAAAGCGTGTCAGGGTCTCTTCTAATGACTGATTCTGAACCGATCATCCGGGGCAGCCAGTTGCAAAGAACCCTTTCCCGTTCGAGCTGCGAGAGCGAACTTATCGCAGCAGCCTCAACCATAAAACTCATGTTGTACTCTGAACAAATCACAGAGGAAATTGGCCACAGCCACACCAAGACTCTTCTGATTGACAACCAAGCAACAATTTCATTGGTGAGTCAAAACAAGAATCGTCAACGAACCAAACACATATCAGTTCGTTATCTGTTCATAAGAGATCTTTTCGAAAGTGGTCGAATCAAAATTCAGCATGTTCCGACCCAAGATCAGCTCGCAGACATTTTCACCAGAGCCTCAACGAAAGCAACCTGTCAAAAGCTTAGAGGCTTAATTGGTATCTCAGCCCACTAGCAACATGAACACCATGATCGAGGTACTCTTGGTGATCATCACCATCGGAGGCTCCGGAGCCTTCTTCGAGTGCACCCGAGGTGGCGACAAAGCCTGCCAGCAGAGACGCCGCACTTGTGGAATCGAGCGGACAGAAGGTGGCAACTTCATGTCCACTTGCTACGAGTTAGAACAAGCTTGTATGCGGCACGTATCGCCCAAGTTGGCTTGCATCACACCCGTCAGGGTATTTGGCGGCCAAGCTATCTGGGATGCTTACAGTCGGTGGCTCCATACCACAACGACACCGACTTCAACCACAACGCCTGTTCCAACATCCTCGACAATCAAAGCAACGACGGAAACTCCCACCGGTCGGCCTACCACGGAAATACCAACCACTATAAGGCCTCCGACACCAACGCCGGAGCCTTCAAGCGAAAACCTTAAAGGGTGGATTTCTACTGGATTTCTATGCTCAGTAATCACTGCTGTGAGTGGAGTAATCTACTCCTTAGCTATGAGGCTGGAACGCCTGGGCTACCAAGAAATCGAATCGAGAGCCAGGCCGCAAAATGGATTGGAGGATGAGGAAATATAATAGTGAAGGCGTTCCTCTCTTATAAAGACTTTGTATTATTTCAAAAATTTCAAAATTTTGAGGATAGGTTTGCTTGCGCGAACCTCGCCGGCCATTCGCCGGTTCCGATCATTGTCCCATCGAAGTGGGACCGAGGATACAAGTACCCTCGTACTTTGAGGGGTGTGCACCCACTGCTCCAAAAACCCATTGCCCCGAAAACCCATTGCCCCAAAAACCCATTGCCCCGAAAACCCATTGCCCCGAAAACCCATTGCCCCAAAAACCCATTGCCCCGAAAAACCCATTGCCCCGAAAACCCATTGCCCCAAAAACCCAATGCCCCGAACATCCAATGCCCCGAAAATCCGATTCCTCGAAAACCCGATTCCCCGAAAAAATTGGAGGAGCCTCGAACACAGCGAAGCTTCTGTACGGAGAGAAGCAGCCTTGCGCTTCCGATCCGGATTCCGAGCCTGTTTACGGTTGTCAACTTCGTATACGAAATCCTTGACACGGAACAGAGGATTGTTCCAAGACGTCTGCAAAACTTCCACGATCATCCTTGATGAAAGTATCGAGACAATACGATGCACCGAGAAACGCACGTTTGATAACGATGGAACTGCTGCATGCGTGTCCCGAATTCATGTTGTTATCGTTCACGTGCACGTCGGAAAATGCAAAAACATTCGATCCCTCAATGCAAATTCCACTACCACCACTGACCGCGCGAGAGCTTCTCTCCCCATAGAAGCTTCCTTGCATCCGAGGCTCCTTCCATTTTTTCGGGGCATCGGGTGTTGGAGGCATTGGGTTTTTGGGGCAATGGGTTTTCGGGGCAATGGGTTTACGGACCAGTGGACTGCCGCCCTCCTTTTCTACTCGAATTCGAGGCATTCTGCCTCTCACGAAACTCCCGGGAAAGGCAGAATGCCTCGAATTCGAGTAGGAAAGGAGGGCGGCAGTCCACTGGTCCGTAAACCCATCTCACGAAACTCCCGGGAAAGGCAGAATGCCTCGAATTCGAGTAGAGAAGGAGTCCTCCGACGATCTAGTCGGGAAATAGTGCATCAGACAGTGTATCAGTTACTTAGAGTGATACAAACAAACTACAATCGGAGAATGGGAGGAAAATACGCTACTAACCCATGCCGATTACCACCACAAGTATCAGTATCACTGATACTGCTTTTGCCGCCAAACGCGGCTTCGTGAGCGCAGACCGGCACCTCTCGGTGACCTTTGCAGACCCAGCGCTCGTCTTCGTAATTCGATCGAGTCTCACGAATTGAACGCCTTTTGCCCTCTAAATCAGAGCATTTTCTTTAGGGCTGATAGTGGGGAGAAGATATTGTGAGACCGGTATTAGACTTTGATCTGAAAGAAACAATGTTGCTAGCTAAGAGATTGCTGGGAAGGGAGACCCCGAGTTTCCCACACTAGAAACCGGAAGTGTCCGGGGATATATTCCAGCTACATCGGACCCAGCCAAATTAGCTTAAGGATCGTAACCGCTGTTTCCAATTGAAGATCTGACGGAAAGGCCCGACTCTGTTTCCGAAAACCCGCGCGCTTCCCGCGCGGGGGAGAGGGTAGCGGATCTCTAGAGCAGTGTTTCCCAAGTATGGGCAAGTGACCCACAAGTGGGTCACGGCGATTTCCCAAGTGGGTCACGGGACTTCCGGACTCTTTCATACTATCGATTCAAGACTCATCGCGAGATGCACCGGGAGCTGAATTCGGGCGGGGACTTCTCCGTCCGAGAATCCGTGGATAAGAGGATGCTTTTATGCTTCTTTCTCGTCCATACGATTAGTGTTGACATGAGTGTGGAGCGCGGACGTTCGAGATTCGAGATGCGCGTTCTACTCTCGCTCAAGATTGATGTTTCGCAGCGCTCCCACTTTGAATCCTTCGAATGCTTTCGGTAGTCGATGCGGTGGGTGGTGACAAATGAGAGAAATGATTGTTGTGGCTCTCGAGTGAGTATTGCGCCGAGATATTTCCGTGATTATATGCGCAATCGGCTCTGTGTATGCTTACTCAACATGTCCGAAATCACTCTCGTGCAGGTAATCAAGATTGCGAGCCGTCTCTCAAGCCCTCCGCAATGAGCAATCCGAAGACAAGACCAAAGCGGCGATATTCCGAGCAGTTTCTGAAGTTTGGCTTCATTGCGGTCGAGACCAACAGGAAAGAGACAGCGCCTCTCTGTCTCATTTGTCTCCAGGTCTTGTCCAATGAGTCCATGAGATCCTGTCGACTTCAACATCACTTGAAGTCGAAGCATCCTCAGAAGGCCGCCTCGCCACTGGAGTACTTCGAGTCGTTGAAGGAAAGCTTACGAGAATAGACCAAGGGTAGGCTCTTTGTTCGCCAACTCCAGGTCCGCGGCGATTCGAGTTCAGCAAGCAAGCTATGAAATCTCTCTCTTGATCGCGAAAACTGGGAATAACCATTCGGTCGGAGAGCAGCTTATCAAGCCAGCGATAGCGACATTCCTCAAAACGGTCGGTCAGACTGATGACAAGGAAGTTGCGGCATTGCCGCTGAGCAACAATACGGTTTGCCGGAGAATCGATCGTATGGCTGAAGATATCGAGCAGAAGCTGGTCGAGAAATTGCGGAGCCGTAGCTTTTCTCTACAGATGGATGAGTCCACAATAAGACAGAGCGAAGCCCTCCTGATGAGTTATGTGAGATATATAGACCAGGAAGATCTGAAGGAGGAGATGCTGTTCTGTAGATCGCTAGGAA